TTTTTTTTAAAGCACCCACAAACATAAAATAAAAGAAGCCAGAAACATAGTCTAGTCAAATATTATATCTAAACAAGGTCCTCGCTGGCGCCGTAACTGTCATTTCTGTGTCTATAGCGCTGTAAAACATTTACTATGCCATGCCAAAGTCAATGCACTATATCTGAACATAAAAGGATTTTCAACAATGGTAACCTGACCTATAAATCGCTCTTTGGGATAACCCAAGTGATGACGACACTCGTAGCGAGTTTGGCGGTACATTAATATTAATAAGACGGCACATCTCAAATGTGCTCCTGCCGAATAGTGCCGAAATATAGCCCACTGTAGGCAGTCTAAAAATAAACGCGATAGACTGTGCACTATTCTTTGCCAAAATTATGTGAGCCCCGGAGCAATCAGCCGAGTGCTCAAGTGAATTGTGATTGGTTCATTGTCTTGCCGCTATTTTAAGTGACTCAGTGACCGTGAACCCGAGGGAGGAGAACGTGACATACTTAAGTCACCGTCCTATGAGTTGTGCTTTTGAACGGTTTTGTAGTGGAGTGGTGTCAGTGTGCTACTATACCCATGACCACCGATAACTTAATTGTGCACGCCCACTTTTTAGCCCCACGAGCCGCCCCTGGTATCATGTGATTATAAAATCGTGGGCACTCTTGTGTGGTTTGCTCCTTCCTTCCTATCAAAACTACATATTATCGCCCCTTCCCCTCCTCCCTATTGTACGTTACTAATAATAATAGATAATAGATAGCATTTGTATAGCGCAAATCCCCGCTCAACAGCAAGCTCTATGCGGTTCACAAACAGTACTATAATATTACCCCAACAGACCTGAGAGTATTCTGAAACAACCTCAACTTCCTGGGAAGCATACAGTGCAAGCAGCCATTTATTGGGGCTAAAACACTAACATACTGACAAGATCTTTCGTTGTCTATGGCAGGGTACCCATTCCCTCCTGGGTGAAGTGATGAAAATTCGTGTAAAGTGCCTTTCCCAAGGACACAGCGTTGGGCCTGCGGCTCGGACCCAGAACCCGATCCTCACGATTACGAGTCCGGTAGCCTAACCACTTACTCTCTAGCAATGATCATACATAACAAGATAGTGCACTCCTCTCTTTGAGCCAATTAAAAAAGTGCCCTCAAAATTCGGTGGCGCCCTCTTCGCAAATGCGCACCCTTTGCGAACAGAGCTACCTTATTTGTGTGGAAAAAATCAAAGTGAAACTAACAAGTTTTTAAATAAATATGAATTCAAATTTCCGAAGAACGCTTTTTTAAAAAGGTTACGCTAACAAAAAACCTCTTCCGGAGGAAAAGGCGACTGTTTTTTTCGTTTAATTTGACTTTAGAATGAGAGGCCAGCGGTCATTAAAATTTTTACAAACCTAAAACTCTGCACTGAAGGAACCCAAACAGCTGATGAACAGCAGTCGATCTGCGCACGCAAGGAGGTGCTATTCCTATTCTTCTTCCTTAGAAACGAAAGAGAGCTTCAAAACAGACTGCAGCGCTATCTGAAGCAATGAGCGGACTTCCGGTGGACACTTTTTTGGCTGAGTGGGCCATCTTGTTAGGTACGATCTTTGTCTCTAGTAGTAACACATAGAGGACCTATTTGTATCGTTAGGTGCCGCAAAACCCTTACTAGAACACAGCAACCCCGCACTGTACAGAACCGTACCGTACGGCTGAGGGGAAAAAATCCGGATCATTAACGATCAAGTCGCTGCCCAGCACTATCTTTCTCCAAGCCCTTGCAGAAGATTGGAATAATGAAGGAAATAAAATAACTTTATGGACCTGAGATCTGATACCGTGGCGTCAATAGGTCATTAATGTTGTCCTTCAGTAGTATATCCGTCCTGGAATAGCTCGATTTATACTGGATAGCGCTGGTCAGTTTGTGCCTTCTTGGGGTTATCAAGAACTTCCTTAATAAAAAGCGAACGGGTTCTACTGTATGTTTCTCCGAACGTATTAATGTGCTGTTTTTCCTCTTACCGTTTTTTCACCCTTCCTCCCCCCTCCCTTTCCCCACTACAACACAAACATACTCACACATCTCTCTTTTTC